TAGCCAATAAGAAGCCCAACCACCAGCCAACTGTTGTATACCCAATATACCATCTGTGTATTCATTTAGGACTAAAGGGTGCCAGAGTCAAACAGGATGAAGAATATATAAATATAAATATATATATATATATATATATATATATAGAGAGAGAGAGAGAGAGAGAGAGAGAGAGAGAGAGACAGAGAGACAGAGAGACAGAGAGAGATGTGTGTTTATAGACCTTAAGTGTTGAACATCAAAAATTTAAAATCTGCTCTATGAAATGCTTCAAAATTCACAAAGTTTTGAGTGCTACATACACCCACAGTGTCATTGAGAGCACTCTGGATTCCTGAATTTCCATAGTTCGGGTGGACACTTGCCTTAAACTGTGTGGAAGAAGAATACAGATCAGAACAAGGAGCTACAAAGGATTTTGCTGTTTGGTTGTTTTTGAGGTAGAGTCTTACTAAGCAATTCTCAGAATGGCCTGGAACTCACTCTGTAGATGAGGCTGCCCTCACGCTCACAGAAATCCTCCTGCTTCTGCACCTCAACTGCTAGAATTAAAGGGATGTGCTACCATATCTGGTCTAACATTATTTACCCGGTTTAAAAAAATAAGTAAGTCTATAATTACAAGCAGTTGTGTTATTTACCCAAAAAATTTTCTCTAGAAATATAAGTAAAAGCAATGCCTATACTTCACAAATGTCTACTCACAGATTATTTTAAAGGTAAAGTGAGATGAAATGATAACATAAGGGAGATTTTAGAGTAATGAAAATGTTTAAATACTATGCTTCCTCCTCCTCCCTCTTGAAGGAAAGGTGAGGTTCTGAATAGACCCTCCAACACAGTTGGAGGAGAGAGAATAGCTCCTTTCAGTGAAGGTCAGCACAGTATATAGGGACCATATGGGAAGTGCTCTGGAATAATTAAAACAGCAGTTGTATATACAAGGTTCTTTTGTGCACCAGGAATACATCCTGGTTCCACTGCCTGAGGTCCCTTAGACTGCGAAGTCCTTCTAGCTGAGACCCATGTTCCCATGGAGGGCACTCCCTTAACCTAGAGACAGGAAAGAAGTCCTAGTCCCTACTTCAAATGACTTGACAGATTTATATGTCCCCACCTGGATGGCATTGCCCTACATGTGGAATTGGGTGGGGGGGATGGGAGTGGAGGGTGGTCAGGGTACATGTGAAGGGGGAGAGAGGGTAAGAGGTAGGGAGGGAGGGAGAGGGAGAGAACTGGGATCGACATCTAAAAGAAAATAATAATAATAATAATAATAATAATAATAATAATGACAATGATAATAACAGCAGTCTTAAATGCAGATCCAATTAGCTGAGCCATAAGTCAGAATCACATTCAACAGCTCTCATTGTGTTATCCTACTGTCTGTCAGCTTATGTCTAATATGTGCCCTGAACACTGCACATATTTGAACAGAGCATGGTGTTTTTGAAGCTTTTCAACAAATTAGAAGTTTATTAAAATAACAGCATAAGTTGCATATATAAATACTCACACCTTGAATTCCCTCAGCTTTACACCTATGTAAAGAATTCTGATATTTTCAAGGTTTTCTTTTTAAATTGGCGTGTGTGTGTGTGTGTGTGTGTGTGTGTGTGTATGTGTGTGTGTGTCTTTCTTTCTTTCTTCCTCTTATTCTTTCTTTCTACCTTTCTATCAACATGGGGGTCATGTCCATGAAAGGTACAGTGGCCAATGAGGCCAGAGGCATTGGATCCTCTAAAGATGAAGTTTACATGGACCATGAGCTATTCAATATGTGTGCTAGGAACTGAACTCAGGTCCTCTGCAACAGCAATATGTGCTTTTAAAAGCTGAGTCACCTGTTCATCTCAAAAACAATTCTGATTTTTAAAATAGGAAGGTCATAAGTTTGAGTGGAATGGTGCTTATTTTTATATTTATATGTTCAATGTGGAAGGCAGGATACAAGCTCTAGAGAAATTTTACCTGGGTAAATAACACAACTCTCAAGATGTATTTTACATAAAACCAAACAAAAAACAACAGAACCACACACAATGCCAAACTACTATCTACTGTATATAGCCACACAAGTTAAACAAAGGTTGCTGTTGGTATTTAGGAGTCACTATAGGATTGAGGGAGGATGATGTGCATATGCTTTTTGTGTTTCTTTGTTATCTTGTCATTTTTTGTGTTGCATTTTATTTTGTTTTCTGAAATGGTTTCATTATGTACCCCTAGCTGGCCTGGAATTGGGTATGCATACCCAATTACCTGAAAATGAAAATGATTTCCCTTTTTGACTCAGAGTACGATTCAAACGTGTCTGACAACATACACAGATATTTTTGGAAATATGTGACCATATACTTCCCAATAATCCAACTTAACCAGTATGATAAACGTATTTACAGAGTGACATCTCCCATCACCTTATCATACTGGTTAATGAATAAAGTATTGTTGGTCAATAGGAAAGCAAGACAGGTAGTACTAGGAGACAAGAAGGATTCCAGGAAGTAGTAAGGAGGAGTCAGCATGGAGAGACTGGGGAGACCAGATGCCGGCCCCATTCCCCATAAGATGAAACCACTTGGAAATTCTTAGATTAACAGAAATGGGTTAATACTTAAGACAGAACTAGCCAATAAGAAACTAGTACCTGGCCAACAGCATTATATCAAATATAGAGTCTCTGTGTGTTATTTGGGGCTAGGGTGGTGGTGGGCCCAGGCGCCGGGGGGAAAAAACCTACTACATACATGAAGGTTTGCAATGTGAAAGTGCTTGATTTAAGTCAGAGCCACATAGGTCATGGCCAACCATGAAATGTTCTAGTCACACAGTTTGGGAGACACAGTTTGGGAGGTTTTATTTTGTTTTGATTTTTAGTTTTTTGAAAGAGCATCTCTCTGTGTGTAGCTCTGGCTATCCTGGAACTCACTCTGTAGACCAGGCTAGACACAAAATCAGAGATCTACATGTCTTTGCCTCCCAAGTGCTAGGACTAAAGCCATACACCAACACTGCCCAAGTAAAAGTCAGATTATAAAAGTAAACAAATTCATAAAATACTGTGGAGAATCAGAAATTACTTTTGAATTCTTCAAGTTAAAGACTCAAATATCACCATGTATTCAATATATAATCCAGATGACTGAGACCCCTATCATTTTACAAATTCATCATTCCCAATTGTGATTATGCTTCCAAAGGTAAAAAAAAAAAATCAACAAAATCAGCAACAAAAGGAAATTAAACACCAGGGAATTCCTGTTTCAAGTACAGTAAATCTTACAGAGTGTGTACCATCCCAACAAATGGTCTACAGAGACGATCAAAGCATGGTTGACCCATCATAGTGGCATCGTCTATATATTTGTCCCACTCCAAGCATTGTTACTACTTGAAGTCTTCAATATTTGCAGTGTAATATATATTTACATTTTAGTGAAATATGACTCTCAAAATGATTGCTGACGTCCATAGGTAGTTGAAGGTATATTCTACCCATGAAGATTTCTCTTTAATTCCACTTCAACTGGAAAGCACAATGCAAATGATTAGCTCTTTGGAAGTCATTAAAATGCTAACTTAGTAAATCACCAGCAGAGGTACTAAATACATCTTTGAAGGGCTAAGCTCCCTGGGATTATTACAGTCATCAAACTCTAGACCTTGTCTTAACTTTTAAATCAATACTCTGAAATTTGCTTGATAATTAAAATAACCATTCAAAAATTCTTAAAGTATTGTTAATATGTAGTCACAATGCTATTCCACTTAAATACTTCTCATTCATTCTCCCCAAAAATAACTAATGGTACCTTATTAATAGCACTGTGCCTTTAAAGGACCTGTCAGGACATTTCCCTGAGAAAATGAGGTATCAGTCATTTTCATTAATGCTAATAAGCCAAAACCCAGAGTTAATGAAACAATTTCAAATAAAATCACCACTACAAAATCCTAAATACTGTTGGGTGAAAATGTTAATTTAAACTAAACTAAACTATTATATAAAATATATATGGATACATGATATGTATTTAAAATATGGGTTATAAAAAACACTACCTCTGCCAAATGCTGTCTTTATAAAATCAGGTGAATATCCTGCTTTAGTTAGTCTGCAAACAAAAAACAAATATATCTATGTTACTCATCAGAAAGAAACACCACATTTTAGGCAAAGGCCAATTCCAAAGCAGTTCCAAGCTCAAAATCTGCTGAAAAAAAAAAAAAGAAAAGAAAAAGAACAACCACTGATCTGCCCAGATCCATTTCTACAGTTCCACACTTCTTATGGAGGTCTGGCTTCTTCTTAGAGGTGCTCATGTTTACAACTGGATGTTTTTATAAATTGTACTTGGTTGAGTGCTATCTTACAGAGTATACATACATTCATGAAGTAGAACATACTAGATAAACTAGTAGAAATGTGTCATTTTATGACTAAGGAAACTGAGGCAGGGGCTTTAACTGACTCTGAAAGGAAAAGGTCAGGGCAACAGTGCAGAACTGCTCTGAGTTACCCACACTTCCCCTTGTAAAATTTAAAATTCCACTAAATGAGGAGACTATTGCATTTCTAAAGTTTGTATCTTTAAGTGTTACATTTCTAAAAAAGTGCTACTTAATTCCTGTTTCTTAGACTTGAAATAGAACAGCTTTATTTACTAGGAATGAAGTACTCTGAGAAAGCATCACAGTGTCAGAAAGGCATCCTTTCTTTTGCCCACTCTTGTTTTTTCTACACTCATCATTCTGTAATGTTTTTACCTGACACTTTTAATAGTGTGATTTGTAAAAGCATCTTGAAGTGTCCCTGAACTAACCAAACAAAAGTATTTCACACAAATTAAACTTCATAGTACTAAAACTGACCAGATATTTTATAACATTATGAAATTTACTACATTTATTTTAAAAAAATATATTTATACAAGCATTACACAATGAAGAAACTATTTCAAATAAAGTATTCTTATGAATACTTACTTTTGTCTCATCAGAGCATTTTTTCTCTTTAATTCATTGACGTTTCTTTCCAAAGCACGAGCTTCCAGCTTGAAGAAAATAATAGATTTTGAAACTATATCTATAAAATCTCAAATGTCTAGAGCATGATGGCATATAACTTCACGACTAAAAACAGGTTAAGAATCTGCACTTATCTTTTTTCACCCCCATCACCATGCTTCTTTCAGTGACCCCCATCTCCTGACTTCTGCTGGAGTGCCAGACCTCTCCCAGAATGCCTATCCATGCAGGACCACCCTGAGTCCCCGCCTACCTGATCTTTGGCCCTCATGACCGGGACCCTGCTGGAGGTGAATCTGGGACCAGTTCAGGTCCAATCCCTGCCATACCCTTCCCTGGAAACTTCCGGGTTAGCCCTGAATGTAGCTCCCACCTACATCCAGTAGCCATCGAGAACACTCCTAGAACTTTGATCCACAAACCACCCACCCAGAATCTGCCCTCACCCCAACCTGTGCCCTAACTAGGCCACTGTCCCACTGCTTTCATTGAGCACTGGACCACAGAGCAGGTCCAATAATCCCGCCAACTTCAGGGAACTTCCTGGATCTATTCTGAGCACACTAAACCACATCAAGTCCCCTCCTGCATAATCTTTGAATCCCATCGCCTGGCCTCTGCCTGATACCTAAATAGCCAGGCCTCTGCCAGAGACCAGACTATCCATGCTGGACAACTGAGTCCCTGCCTACCTGATCATTGACCCCAATTGCCAGGCCCCTGCCTGAGAGGTAAGCTCCTAGAGAGTTTGGACCACACAGAGATACAGACATCGAACTCCTGACACACTTAAGCCCACTGGGGGAGTAGCATAAACAGGAGAGAAACCCCACATGTACCCATTGGAAGAAGTGAAGGTAAGGTGACAATACAAGAAAACACCTAACAATAGAAAGACAAGAAGGAAGTCATCAGAATCTAGGGAATCTACACCAACTACTAGACCTGAAGACTTGAAAGCAGATGAAGCAGAAGAGGAGTACTTAGAAAATATCGTCATAAAAATGACAGAGGCACTCAGAGACTATACGAGAAAATCCCTTAGAGAAATGAAAGGAAAAATATGCAAAAAAATGGAAAAAAATGAACAAATTTCTTAAAGAAAGTAAGAAAAGTCAAGAAAAAAACAGATGAAGGAAATAATTCCAACAGTTCAAAACCTGAAAACTGAAATAGAGACAATCAAGAAAACACAAACTGAGGGAATGCTGGAAATAGAAAAATTGCACAAATAATAAGAACTATAGATGTAAGCATAACCAACAAAAACCAAGAGATGTAAGAGAGAATCTCGGGCACAGGAGGAAATGATTCATTGACCAAAGAAAATCTTAACTCCAACAACTCCTTAACAGAAGACACCCAAGAAATGTTGGACACTGTGAAAAGGCCAACTCTATCAATAATATGTATAGAAGAACTTGAAAAAGCCCAGCTCAAAGGGGCAGAAATCATGTTCAACAAAATCAATGAAGAAAACTTATCCAAGTTGGAAAGGATACGTCCATGAAAATACAAGAAGCATATCGAACAACAAATAAACTGGACCAAGGAAAAAGAACCCCTCGACACATATAATCAAACATATGAATGAAGAAAGAATTTTAAGAGCAGCAAAGAAAAAAGACCAGGTAACATATAAAGGCAGACCAGTCAAAATTACACCGGACTTTTCCATGGAAACTCTCAAGGACCATAGGTCCTGGATATGTGGTTCTAAAAGTGCTAAAAGTCCATGGATGCCACCCCAGGATACTATGCCAGCAAAACTCCCAATCACTATAGACAGAAAAAAAGAATCAGCCAGATTTTCATAATACATATCTACATATCCAGGCCTACAGAAACTTCTGTAATGAAAACTCCAACACAAGGAAGTTATCTAGGCTCATGAAGACATAGGCAATAGATGACCCCAATTCATCAGAACCCAACTTAAAAACAGGGCAAATATATTCAGAATGCCATGGCCAACAAAATATCTAAAGCAAATAAGCATTAACAATCAATGGTACTTACTTTCCCTCAACATTAATGGTATTAAATCACATATAAAATGACACAGGCTAAATGGATAGCAGGACAGAATCCATCTTTCTGCTGAATACAAGAAACACAGATAAGCTTCAAAAGCAAACATTAACCCATAGCAAAGGGTAGTGAAAAGAACTTCCAATCAAATGGACCCAAGAAACAAGCAGGTGTGGCTCTCCTAATATGTAATAAGTTAGATTTTTAACCAAAATCAATCAAAACAGATGAATAAAGTCATTTCGTATTCATCGTAGAGAAACCCATCAGCACAAAATCTCAATTCTGGACATATATGTCCCAAATACAAAGGCACCCACATTTGTAAGAGAAGCACTACTAAAACTCAAAGTTTACATAAAACCTCACATACTCACAGTGTGATAATTCAACACCCCAATCTCACCACTAGACATTTCCACCAGATACAAACTTAACAAATAATCAAAAGAACTAACAGAATTTATGTCTCAATTGGGTTTAGCAGTCATCTATAGAACATTCCAACCAAACGCAAAAGAATGTACCTTCCTCTCTGCTCCACATGGAACCTTCCCTAAAATCGACCACATAACAAACCTCAACAGATACAAAAAATTGGAATAGTCCCCTGTATTTTATCAGACCGCCTTGCTTTCAAGCTGGAATTCAACAACAACACACCTCGCAGAAATCCTACAAACTCACAGAAACTGAACAGTGCACAATTGCACCTGGATCACAGAAGAAATAATGAAAGAAATGGAGGACTTCCTAGAATTCAACAAGAATGAGGACACAACTTATGCGAACTTATCGGACACCTTGAAAGAGTGCTATGAGGGAAGTTCATTGCGCTAAGTGCCCATATGAAGAAAACTGAGAATAGTCACATTAGAGAATTAACAGCAAAACTAAAAGCCCTAGAACAAAAAGAAGCAAACTCACCCCAGAGGTATAGAAGCAAGGAAATAATTTGAGGGCTGAAATCAATAAAGTAGAATCTTGGAAAACAATACAAAACTCAATGCAATAAAGAGTTCACTTTTTGAGGAAATGAACAAGATAGACAAATCTTTATCCAAACTAACACAAAAGCAGAGAGAGAATATACAAAATAACAAAATCAGAAACAAGAAAGGAGACATAGCAACCGACACTGGGGAAATCCAGACAAGTTTCAGGTCATACTTTGAAACCCTATGCTCCAGAAAATTTAAAAACTCAAAGTAAATGGACAAATTTCTCAATAACTATCACTAACTAAAATTAAATCAAGAACAGATGAGCACCTTAAAAATACCTATCATCCCCACTGAAATAGAGGCAGTCATTGGAAGCCTCCCAACCAAAAAAAGTCCAGGGCCAGATGGCTTCAGTGCTGAATTCTACCATAAATTCCAGCTAAAGCTAATAACGTAACTCCACAAATTGTTTCACAGAATAGAAGGAGAATGTTAATTACCAGACTCCTTTTGCAAGGCCACAATTACCTTGGTAACTAAGCCAAAAGAAGACACAACAAAAAAGAGAACTAAAGACCAATATTCCTCATGAATATTGAGGTAAAATTACTCAATAAAGTACTGGAAAATCGAATCCAAGAACACATCTGAGAAATCATCCAACATGACTAAATAGGCTTCATCCCTGGGTGACAGGGACAGGTCAACATATGAAAATCTATCAATGTGATCTACAATATAAACAAACTGAAAAAGGAAAACAGCGTAATCATGTCACTGGATGCTGAAAAACCTTTGAGATAGAGGTCTTGGAGAGATCAGGGATAACAGGAACATATCTAAATGAATAAAAGCAATATACAGTAAACCAACAGCCAACATCAAACAGAGTGGAGAGATTAAGGCAATTCCTCTAAAATCAGGAAAAGACAATGCTGCTTTCTTACTCTCAATATCTCTTCAATAATGTACTTGAAGTCCTAGTTAAAGCAATAAGACAACAAAAGGAGATCAAGAGGATACAAATTGGAAAGGAAGAAGTCAATCTGTCACTATTTGCAGGTAACATGATAGTTTACATAAGTGACCCAAAATAACTCTACCAAGAAACTCCTACCACTGACAAACACCTTCAGCAAAGTAGCAGGATACAAGATAAACTTAAAAAAATCAGTAACCCTAATTTATTCAGACGACAAAGAGGTAGAGAAAGAAATCAGAGAAACATCACCCTTTACAATAGCCACAAGCAACATAAAGTATCTTGTTGTAAAGCTTACCAAACAAGTAAAAGACCTATATAATAAGAACTTTGTGACTCTAAAGAAAGAAATTAAAGACGATACCAGAAAATGGAAAGATCTCCCATGCTCTTGGATAGGTAGGATAAACATAGTAAAAATGGAAATCTTACCACAAACATTCTCAGTTTCAATGAAATCCCTGTCAAAATCCCCACACAATTTATCACTGATCTTAAAACAATAATAATCAAGTTCATATGGAGAAAAAAATGACTGAGTATAAAAAAACAACCCTGTACAATAAATGAACTTCAGGAGGCATGACCATCTCTGATTTCAAGCTTTACTATAGAGATGTACTCTTGAAAACAGCCTGGTATTGGCAGAAAAATATACAAGTAGATCTATATAATCAAATAAAAAATCCTGACATTAACCCACACACCTACAAACAACTGATTTTTGATAAAACACCTAAAAGCATACAATGAGCAGAGGAAATCATCTTCAAAAAATGGTGCTGGCACAACTGGATGATAGTTTGTAGATGACTGCAAATTGACCCATGTCTATAGCCATACATAAAACACAAGTCAAAATGGATCAAGGACCTCAACATAAATCCATCCACACTGAACCTCTTAGATGAGAAAGTAGGAGGTGCCCTTGAAAAATTGGTACAGGAGACTGCTTTCTTAACATACCTCCGTTAGCACAGACAATTAATAAATGGTAGCACCTGAAACTGAGAAGTTTCTGTAAGGCAAAGGACACTTGACAAGACCCAACAACAGCCCACAGACTGGGAAAAGATCTTCACCAATCATACATCGGAGAGAGGGCCGATCTCCAAAATATACAAAGAACTCAAGAAACTAGTCACCAAACACCAAATAACCTATTAAAAATGGAGCACAGATCTGAAGAGAGAAATCTCAATTGTGGAAATCAAAAAGGCTTCAAGACTCTTAAGAAAGTACTCAACATCCTTAGCTACCGAGGAAATGCAAATCAAAACAATTTTGAGATAACATCTTACCAGAAATACTAAAATTAGGAACACCATGAGAACTTATGCTGGAGAGGATATGAAGAAACAGGATAACCCCTACACTGCTGTCAGGAGTGCAAACATGTACAGCCATTTTGTAGATCATTATGGTGATTCTAAGGAAAAATGGGAATCAGTCTATCACAGGACCCAGCAATCCCACACTTAGGCATATACCCAAATGATCCACATCCATGCAAAAAAGGTATCTGTTTACTATATTCATAGCAGCATTATTTGTAATTGCAAGAATCTAGAAGCAACCTAGATGCCCCTCAACAGAAGAATAGATAATGAATATGTGGCACATTTACACAATGGATTACTACTCTGCCAGAAAGAAAGAATGTAATATTGAACTTTGCAGTCAAGTGGATGGAACTTGAAGAAACCATCCTGAATGAGGTAACCCAGTAACAAAAAGAGGGACATGGTACTTATTCACTTATATGGATTTTAGACATAGAGCAAAGGATCACTGGCTTATAATTTACAGTGCCAGTGATGAGACTAGGATACAAGACATTTCTAAGAGATTCATACATGATCTCTCATGGGGGGGGAGGAAAAGATCTCCTGAGAATATTCAGAGTGGTTGGGCAGTAAGTGCATAGGGGACTAGGAGAAAGAGAAGGGCAGGAGAGGAAAACACATGACATGAGACTAGAAAGATTGAGTCAGGGAAGGAATAGACGAGAAAAAGAGAGAGAGAGAAATACCATAAAATAGGGAGCCAATATAGGATTCTATAAAAAATGATGTTTCTCTGTGTGTAATTATTTTCCAATTGTAATCATAAAAATCAATTTTAAACAAAAAGGAATTCAGTACAATACCCTGAGCTAGTAAAATGTTACAATTCACTTAACTGTTTTAAAATTTTATTTAGTTTTATGTGCATAAGTGTTTCTCCTGACTCTGATATACCTGGACTTATAAGGTGCTCACTGTATGACACATAAATATGAAGATGTACACATGTTAGGTGTGTGTGCATGCACACATGAGTGTGATTGGAGGTGTCTTAAGAGGACAGAAGAGGGTCTAAATTCACCTGGAAGTAGAAGACAGGCAAATGTGAATCATCTGACTTGCTCAGAACCAAACACAGCTCTGGTCCTCTGGAAGAGCAGCAAGTGCTGAGCTGAAATACTGAGCTCTCTCTCCAACCCCCAAAACTCCTTCTCAAGACTTTGTGATTTTAAAACTAATTATATTCAGAGGGAAATGTACAAGTAAAGCACAGAAATAAAAGATTAATTCTCAGTGCTTCCTATGGTCTGGCCTAAATATGATTTAAATACTGGTAAAATTAATAAAATTCATAGAAAGTGATTATTTTTAAATACCGTCTATACCTTTAACTAATATAACATGAATAGTATATGTTAGGGGACTTAAAAACTTACCCAATAGTCATGTTCCCTTTGTTCATGAGCCATAACCTAAAAAACAGATATTAAAATTATTCATAAATAAAAAACTTTCATTGCCACCACTAAAATTCATGGCCCAAACCATAATTCCCACTGCCGAGGCATCTCTGAAGCATTATAACCATTTTGAAAGCATAATTTCACATATACAGATGATTTTCTCTCCTGAAATTTTAAACAAACCTGAACATAAGGTTTTTAATGCCAACAAACTGCAGAAGATGATCAACTACTAGAGTTTCCAAGGAACAGATAACAAGCACAACATGGGACACTGATGGTGCCAGACAGTGCTGTGCTGTATAATACTCATTCCAAAAGAAAGGAAAGCTGCAGAAGTTTTTTATTTCAGCATCTTTGGCTCCCTGTGTATATTTCAGTTTCACAAAACACCTCAGGAGTGATGAAAGCTACAGTCCTGCATCAATTCTATCCAGTCAGAGTGCTCTAACTGCATATACAGCTGTCACTTGACACACATACCTGCACTTGATAGGAGCAAATTGTTCTCTCCAATTCTTCTTCGATATCCTTGGCACGCCGACTACATGGAACAAATAGTTACTCCACTGTGCTGACATATAATAAAGAATAACAGCATGTGGCTACAAGAATATTACTGAGTGTTCTTCCTTATTTAATTATAACCACAAGACTCCTCTTTTGAGAGATGCTGACAGGTATTAAAGACCATCTTCTCCTCCCCTAAGTCTAATGTCAATTAAACTATGTGAGCACTATTACTTGGATGTGCCTAACACGATGTCACAAAAATTTACACAGTACAGAAGGTCTCAAGCAGCCTGTTCAGGGGCTCAGTTACAATCTTACCATGCCTCCATCCTAAGTGCAAAAGTCTCAGGCACATGCAAGCATGCCTGATCATCTGGTTTTCATTTTCAGGACTCAAAATCATGAAAGATAAACTCAGATCCTATAAAATTAACAGAGTCCCAGAAAAGGAAATCGTTTTTGTTTGTTTTGTTTTGTTTGTTTGTTTGTTTGTTTACTTCAAGACAGGGTTTCTCTGAAGCCCCAACAGTCCTAGAACTGGCTCTGTAGACCAGGCTGGACTTGAACTCACAGAGATCCACCTGCCTCTGACACCAATGCTCAGCTCAGGAGAGGAACTCTTAAGAGGTAAAAGTATAACTAACTTACTGTCTTTATGAAACAAAAAAGTAATTTGTCCTTTTACAAAAAGCCCAAACTTACCCTTCCTAAGGTTGATAGAAGTGTCTTATGACTCAAGTTGCTGTGGTGATCCTCTAACAGACATTCTAGTGTTTCCTCAGGTCCACTGAGGACTGAACCAAAGACTAGCTAAGCATTTACTAAAATTCTAAGAGTGGCTTGTTCATTTCATGGCAAACTTGCTGAATGCTAATACTGTGTATATTCTTTCCCAGCTGAAAAAATATTCATGAATGAGCTTGAATTAACTGCTCATCATGTCCTTCTTGACGACAGGGTCTCATGCAGGTCAAGCTAGTTTCAAGCTCACGATTTAGCCAATATTGGTCTTGATCTTGTGACCATTCTTTTCCACCTCCCAGTGCCAACACACACAACATCCATACCTATTTATAAACTTCTTCATGTTAACATAAAATATGCTTATACTTATATGTCAAAATCCCCAAAAAGAAAATTTTCCTTTTTATATTCTCTGAATATCAACAAAATTCCACGAAATTCAAATACAAAGTAATGAAACAAAAATATGCCAATTCACTTAGTAGTTGTGTTAGGACACACAAGCCTTTAGTCCTAGCACTTGGTAGGCATAGGCAGGCAGATCTTTGAGTTCAAGGCAAGTCTGCCTCCAGAAAGAGTTCCGGATGGGTCAGGGATACAGAGACCTTGTCTGAGATCAAACAAAACAACAAAGCCATTTTATTTTACTGCTTCCTGATGCCAAGCATCAAAATAAGAAAGAGGATGTCTTACCTATAGGTGTCTAGTTCTTTGTTCACATGGTTGGTTCTCTTGTTGACTTTGAAAAGTTCTTCCTCTTTCTCCAATCGACAATTTTCCTCCACTGTTATTTTCCTTAAAAAAAAAGAGTTTTTCATTCCTTTTAATGTATGTAATCAATATAATCAACTACAATCACAAACAGTGTATCACACAAAGCAATTGCCATACACCACAGCAAAGGCCATGTGCAAAAAAACAAGAAAAAAAAAATTGTGTGTCTCTGATATGAAATTTGGCACTGGGAAAAAGTGTGGTTGCAACAAACCCTCCACTTCTGTGGAACTTCCTGGCTCTGCTCTGAACCCACTGGACCCACCTATCCACTCAGGTACACCTTGATGCTACACTTTGAACCCCACCAACTGGCCTCTGCCAGGGGAGCAATCTCCAAGAGAACTTGGATTATCCATGGTTGCAGACATCGAACTCCTGACCCAACTACATTCACCAGGACAGCAGCGTAAAGAGAGACAGAAACTCCACCTTCACACACTGGAATAAGTGATGGGAAGACAGAAATAGAAGAAAATGCCCAACAATAGAAATAAGAGTATGATAAACCAGAATCTAGGGACTCGACACCAAAAAGAACTAAACATATCAAAACAGATGAAGAAGAGTATGACTTAAAAAAAAAAAAAGTTCTTAAAAATAACACAGGCCCTCAAAGATGCTATGAAAAAAAAATCCCTTAAAGAAATGGAAGAAATCCAGACTAATGTGGTTTGATCAACAGAGTACAAGGTGATCCTACATTCAAAACAGCTGGACAAAGCAGCCTTACAGACTTCTGCCAGGATTTCTGAATCTTCTTCGAATCCCCCGTAACTGCGCCCCTTACCAGCAGGAAGTAGTTTGGAAAGAACGCCCAAATTCCCAAATATTGTGTATATATGTTTGTTTTCATTTAAATGGACTTTGTTATATAAAATAAATTAAGAAAAGAAATGCAAAAAAAAAAAACAAACAATAAATTGGAAGAAATAGAGAAAAAGGACACAGAATATATGAATGAAATAAAAAATCTCTTAAAGAAAGTATAGAAAGCAAAGAAAAACAATAAAACAGATGAAGGAAGCAATTCAAACTGTTCAAGACCTGAAAACTGATATAGAGACAATAAAGAAATCCCTAATTGAGGGAACGCTTAAAACAGAAAACCTGGGTAAATGATCAGGAACTACAGACACAAGCGTAACCAACAGAATATAAGAGATTGAAGAGAGAATCTCAGGAGTTGAAGATAAACTACAGGAAATAGATTCATTGACCAAAGAAAATCTTAAATCCAACAAAACGTAGTAGAAATGTGGGATAACATGAAAAGGCCAAACCAAAGAATAATAGGCAGAGAAGAAGGTGAAGAACCCCAGCTCAAAGATGCAGAAAATATATTCAAAAAATCATTGAAGAAAACTTTCCCAATCTGAAGAGAACTTTTCCAATTTGAAGAAATTATGCTAATGAAAATACAAGAAGCATACCCAAAACCAAATACACAGGACATAAAACAAAACAAAACAAAACAAAAAAACTCCCCTTGACTCATCATAATCAAAACATCTAACATACAGAATAAATAAAAAAATATAAAGGACAAGAAGAACAAAGGCCAGGTAATTTATAATGGCAGACCTATCAATCAAAATATCAAAATTACACCTGACTTCTACATGGTAACTCTCAAGGCCAGAATGTCCTGGATAGATGTTCTACAAGTACTAAGAGTTCACAGATTCCAGCCAAGGCTACCATACCCAACAAAACTCTCAATCACTGTAGATGGAGAAAACAAGTTATTTAATGACAAAGCCAGATTTTCACAATACATATCCACAAATCCAGCCATGGAGAATGTTCTGGAAGGAAAACTCCAACACAAGGACGTTAACTACAATAACAAACAACTAGCCAATCGATAACACCCCTTCACCAGAACCCAAATGTAAAAGCATAGGAAATATACACAACAATACCACTGCCAACAACAACAAAATGAAATCTAAAACAAATAAGAATTAACAATTAATGAATGAATGGTCCTTACTTTCCACCAACATTAATGGTCTTAACTTGCATATAAAAAGACACAGTCTAATAGAATTGACCTGAAGACAGAATCTACCCTTTCGGTGTAAAAAAGAAACACATCTAAGCTTCAAAGACAGATACTAACCTAGAGAAAAAGGGTTGGGGAAAGAACTTCCAATCATTTGGGCCCAGGCAGCAAGAAGGTGCAGTTATCCCAATATCTACCAAGTTAGACTTCAAACCAAAATCAACCAAGAAAGATAAAGAAGGCCATTTCATACCCATCATAGGAGAAGTCCATCAGTACAAAGTCTCAATTCTGAACATCTATGCTCCATATACAAAGGCACCCACATATATAAAATAAACACTAATAAAACTGAAAGCTCACATAAACCTCACACATTACCAAACTTTTTATGGGGCTTGTTACACAAGTCACACAAATGCACAAATAAGAAAGAGAACTACAGACCAACATCACTCATGAACATTGATCCAAATATACTATATTAAATACAGGTATATTGAATACAAATTCACATCAGAGGACTCATCCAACATGATCAAATAGGCTTCATCCCAGGGATGCAGGGATGGCTCAACTTACAAAAATCTATCAATGAGACCCACAATAAAAACAAATGGAGAAGGAATAACAACATTATAATCCCACTAAGATGCTGAAAAGGCCTTTGAAAAAATTGAACATCCTTGGAAAGATCAGGGAAAACAGAAACATACCTAAATATAATAAAAGCAATATATAGTAAACCAACAGCCAACATCATACTGAAAGGAGAGAAGCTTAAGGCAATTCCTCTAAAATGAAGAACATGACAAGACTGCCCTCTCTCTACATATCTCTTCAATAATGTACTTGAAGTTCTAGTTAAAGCAATAAGAAAACAAAGGGAGAACAAAGGGATACAAATTTGAAAGGAAGAAGTCAAAATGTCACTATTTGCAGATGATATGATAGTTTCCATAAGTGGTCCGATAAACTCTACCAGGGAACTCCTATGGCTGGAAAACACATTCAGCAAATTACCAGGATACAAGATTAAGTTAAAAAAAAAAAAAAAAAACCTTATGTCTACTATATACAGACGATGATGTGGCAAAGGAAGAATTCACAGAAACATCTAATGGATCAAAGACCTCAACATAAAACCAGCCACACTTAGAAGAGAAAGTGGGAGGCACTCTTGAACAAATTGGTACAGGAGACAGCTTCCTGAACATAACACCAGTAGCCCAGTCACTGAGATTGGTAATCCATAAATGGGACCTCCTCAAATTGAGAAGCTTCTGTAAGGCAAAGTACACAGTCAGCAAGACCAAATGGCAGTGCACAGACTGGGAAAATTCTTCACCAACCCAACATCTGACAGAGGGATGATCTCTACAATAGACAAATAACTCAAGAAACTAGTTACCAAAACAACAAATGAAGAGAGAATTCTCAATAGAGGAATCAAAAATGGCTGAAAGAGACTTAAGAAAGTGCTTAACAGTCTTTTAGCCAACAGGGAAATGCAAATCAAAACAACTTTGAGTTACCATATTATTCTTGCCAGAATGACTTAACTTAGAAACACCAATGGCAGCTTATGGTGGAAAGAATGTGGGGAAAGGGTAACACTCCTTCACTGCTGGCAGGAGTGCAAATTTGTACAGCCATTTTGGAGATCAGTATTGTGGTTCCTCAGGAAAATCGAAATCAGTTTACCACAAGCCCTGGCAATTCCACCCTTGGGCATATACACATCCATGTTAACAGAGACATCTGATCATCTGTGTTCATAGCAGCATTATTTGAAATAGCAAGAATCTGGAAGCAACCTAGAAGCCCCTCATCTGAAAATTGATAAAGATGTCCATTTACACAATGGAATACTACTACTCTGCTGAAAAAAAAAAAAAAAAAAAAAAAAGAACAATGGAATCTTGAAATTTGTAGGTACATGGATGGAACTTGAAGAAATCATCCTGATTGAGGTAACCCACTCATAAAAAGAGGAACATGGTATTTACTCACTTATATATGGATTTGAGACATAGAGCAAAGGATTGCCAGCATATAAGTCTCACCGCGAGAGAAACTAGTATACAAGGAGGAACCAAAGACAATAATACAAGGTCCCTCACAGAAGGGGAAAGGACAGGATCCCCTGAGCATATTGGGAGTGGGTGGGGTCAGTGAGTGGAGTGTCAGGAGAAAGAGAAGGGGAGGAGCGGAGCACATGTGGGACCAGGAAGATTAAATTGGGAGACTAATACATGAGAGAGAAAAAGAAAGAGAATATAATAGAGGGAGCCATTATAAATTTGAAGAGAAAATTGACTCAGAGACCTACAAGGATAACCCCAATTATCAATCTGAGCAATCGTAGAAAGTCTACCTTAAATTCCCTTCCCTGATAATGAGATAGATAACTAATTTATATGCCATCATTAAGCCCCCACCTAGTAGCTGATGGCAATACAAGCAGAAACTCACAGCTAAACACTGAGCTGAACTCTTGGAATCCAGTTGTAAAGAGGGATGAGTGATAAGAAAAGTGGTCAAGACCAGGCTACTGAAACCAACACATACAGCTAACCTGAACAAGGGTCAGCTCATGGCCCCCCAGACTGATAGCTGGGAAACCAGCATTGTACTGAATCAGATCCCTGAAAGTGGACCTCAGTTAGAAGGCCTGGGCAGTCTAAGGGACCTCTGACAGTTATACCAGGATGTGTCTGTGGTGCATAAAAGGACTTTGGGAGCACATTCCCCGTGGAGGAATACTCCTTTAGCCTAGAAGCAGGAGGGAAGTTCTAGATACTACTCCAAATGATTAGACAGATTTTGATGTCCCCTCTTGGATGGCATCACCCTCCCTGTAGAGTTGGGGGGGGGATGGGATGTGAGGGTGTGAGCGGGCCATTATGGAAGGAGGGAGTGGGAACTAGGATCAAGTTTTATTATAGTAAGTCACTATGTTTGTTAGTAAGAGGGCCAATAACTACAACTATGGCTTGTGTTGTTTTGTTTG